ATCCAAATATAACAGATAGCTTCACGAACATTGGGCATCGAATATACAGTCAATATAAGATATAAGTAGTGCTTGTAAAAATTTCAATGTTTGCAAAACGTTGAAATTGCTTATTCCACCACACTGATATGTATACAAGTTTAAGTCATAAAAAAGGCACCAGAGTCGTCAGACTAGTTTTTCCGCAGTTGTCGAGAGAGGTTTACAACCGTTATGGAAGACTGAGACTATCAGTGATTAGGACCAGTTGGAGCGGATCAAATCTGACTCCCATGCGTTTGCTGAAACTTCATTTTATCCAAACAATAATCCTCGGCCATCGTCATTAAGTACCTCTCGTACAAATCCAACTTGCCTACTGTCATTCCTTGTTTCACGTTACCAAAAGCCTTCTCACCCTCTGCATAAATTCAAGACCTTATCTCAGTGTTCCATTCATAATTCAACTAGATAGCCGGCAACCGAAGACTAAGTGGAGGCCAGTTGAACAGTTCCTCGAGTTGCCTCACCCATCGTTCCAGTCGTCGTATCAACGAGTCGATCACAGATCTATTCTTCTCTACTATACTTTCACTAACCATAGACGTTTTTGCTTCAGTTCCCTTGATAAGTCTGAAACCTGTCCACTGTTGTCTGTCACCAATGCTCCTTGCAACTCTCAAGTCTTCGTTGCCTAACATCACTCACTGTATAGACTAGATGTTGGTCTACATTTTGACTACTATTCGATTTGATGGAGTATGCTGACATTAAAAGCCTCAATAATTGTTCTGTAGCGCGGTGTCAGGAGACAAAAGATGTTGTTTCGTCAGCTCAAATCGTTATCGAGAGCTGAAATACTCAAAGGAATTAAGGTTGAAATGGGAGAGTAGACCGAGAAATGTAAATAATGATTCGAATGCTTATGCTGGTCTGAGTGATGATAGAGTGGTGAGGGTGGTTTAGTCTTACTGGGTGCCTACACCGTCGATTACTTATTTGTGAGCAGAGCCCAAGGAACGTCTCCTTGAGTTCATTCACACACAACCTTTCCGGAAATTTTAGTTGTTTTTTTCTTATCAAATTCGTTGCCTTTGACGCGTGAAGACCGCAGGTTAAAGTATCGCGCTGTGTTTTGATCGACATTTTCTCAACTTCGCCTCCCATAGGGAATGTAGCATTGGCATAGTACTGCTGTCCTAATCCTCAACTTCGTTCTCAGTTCCCCATAATAGGGTAGTGTATCATACTACTGCGGTAGCTGCTCTCTGCACTAACTACGCCCAAGTAACCTTTCTGGTATTTAGGACAAAAGAGAATATGTGTCTCATCATTATAGCATGTTGGGTCATTGAGATCTGTAAGTCTGACCAACACATCAAGGTAACAGCTATCGGTTCGGTAAGTAATGAGGGTTATATTTGCTTCGTGTTAGGTTATGATTCTCTTTTATTTCATTTATCAGATGCATACTACTGGGAATAAGTTTTATTTCATCTGAACGATGTTCTGAGCACAAAGCTATAAAAAGGTTGAATCATAAAAGTAAATAGGAAAGTTGTGCGATTATATTCAAAATTTACACAAGTTTCTCAAGTATATTGCTATTTGAAATTCTGGAGCGAAACCCTGTCTGACGAATAAAAAGTTGTTTGATATCATCATCAATATCAACATAGGACCAGGCATTACTTCGTGACGCTCCGAGTTGCCACATCTCATATCAGTACATCAAGTAAAAAGGCAGTGAGGGGCAAGATGAAGAAAAGAAAATTCAGTCAAAAGAAATATAAAGTACTAAAATAGAGAAAGGAAGAATGAGAAAATGGTGAGATTCGGTATAGCATCGTTAAGATGAGGATAATGTGTGCATACATATGCGCCACTGACATCAGTTCTCAGCCAAATCATCTAGTCTCCAAAAACTAGTTTCTCTCGTCCCGCGGACCTCAACCGGCTAGTCTGCATCGGCACACATGGCTCAAACCAACAGTCAAAGACTTCATACACTGATGCTATGTTCTAGTCGGGACAGCTCGTGTCTTTTTCCAGCCTGGACCAACTTCGGCCAACATTGTATGACGAGGCAATCGACGACTAGGCATACGTAACACGTGTCGCAACCATCTCAGTCGATGAAGGTTGATAAACTCGTCAACAGATTTATCTCTTCCTCCTAAAACCCTACTTCTGAGTTACTCACGTGGTGACACCACGGAATACGGCATATACTACGAAGGCAACGGTGATCAAACACCTGAGGCCTTCTCATGTCTTCTACCTTCAATGGACATATTTCACAACCATACAGTAGAACAGGGCGGACTGCTGTGCAGTACACGCGACACTTAATAGACAATCAGATATCACGGCGGCGCCATAGGTGGCGTAAGTTGGCAAAAGCCAGCCGAGCCTTTTGTATCCGTGAAGTGATTTCCTCGGCCACTGAGCCACCAGGTCAGGGCTGATCCTACTTCCAGATAAGTGAAGTAGTCAACACACTCAACTTCTCCACTCTCTATTGTTATCCGAGGCACTGTTGAAGACCAATCATGAGTAACAATTTGCATTTGGGTGGTGAGAAACGCATCCTAAACATTCTCAAACTGCCACTCGAAGTGTTCAGAAGACTCTGCATCTTGTCAGTGACTTCACCTAACAGGACTATATCATCTACATATTCTAGGTCTAACGAAAATTCTCGTGTGATTAGGTCAACCTCTGTGTAGTCAGATGACGAAAGGGAGACTCCCATAAGAATATCTATGATAAAATTGAATAAGAATGGAGAGTTTGCGGCCTTGATCGACACTACTCGACTTACACAACTCAACAGATATCTTAGCGTAGACCCTAACACGCCCACAAGTGCTTGAGTAGAGAGCCTTCAATAAGGTGATGAACTTACTCGGCATGCCTTTCTGTGAGAGACATTGCCGTAAGACTTCTCGATCAACGGAGTCGAATGCCGCCTTCGGGTCGAGAAATACAGCTAGTGTTGGGTGTCGGTAATCGTGCCTAGGTTCCAGAACCTGGCGCAGTAAGAATATTTGGTCGATGCACCCGCGGCCCGGTGTAAATCCTGCCTGGTTTTCTCGGGCTTACTGTTCCCGAGCTCCACTCAGACGTCAAAGACTTATAGAACCTAGAATCTGAGGCACTATGTTCACCAGGCTGATTCCTCTGTGATTATCATCAAAGGACTTCTCGCCTTTCTTGAAGACTGGGATAATCAGTGATTCAGACCATTCATAGGAGATCGTATTTGATTCCCATATCCCAGTTAACACTTTCGTTAACCTGAGTAAGAGCACCGTACCACCATCCTTGTATACCTCAGGAGTTAGTCCGTCTGGTCCTGCAGCCCTTCATGGTTTCAGGTTGCAACGAAGAGATATCTTTTCGCTTACCATCTGCCTGCCACTCTAATCGATCCTTCTGTCTTGATAGCAGATGGACGACGACTGATGAGGATCCTGCCAACTGGCGCAGCTTTGTATTTTGATACATAGGGGGAAAGGGACAAGTTAGTCCATTTGCTGGTAGTATAGAGTCATTTTGTGTAGTCAAGTGTGAACCATAAGCGTTGAAGGCGGTCGATCTGCTCTTTGCCTGCGGTTTCGGGGTGTTTTTTGTGATATCACGTTAGGGGAATGCTTTTTGGAAGCATTTTCTTAGTAACTAAAGATGTTGGGAACACACCGGAATTTCAATCAGTTAAGTGCAAGTAGTTAAGGAACTCTGGAAACGAACCAATTAGGAACCTTTCACTCTGCAAACATGCAGAAGAAAGTGGAGATGGATGTGGATACACTGAGAAGGCTGACTGGGGACATCACGCACGCGCCAGACCCTCGGGTTGAACCCCGATGAAAAGCTACGAGTTGGGCGTCCGAGGCGAGGGTGACATGGAGGAGATCATGCGAGGAGGAAATGAGAGCTTGTGGGCTGTCGTGGAGCCAGGTTGAAAAGATTGCAGAGAAGAGAGTGGAATATAAACGTGCTACTGAAGCCCTATGTTCCACTAGGAACCCAAGAGCCAAATAATAATAGGAGTAAGTAAAGTGGAACAAGAATGCACATAAAGACAACTTTAGAATTGATAGTGAGAAAAGTCTAGCTCATATACAATAATAACCATGATGAAGTAACAAATGGAATGGTTGCACTTAAATCAATAAATTTTATTACTCGTAGGAACGCGTAACTAGTGCATCATTGTATTCATTTTTGATTTTAGTTCATGATTTGTATTTGGGATATAGCTTGAATGCCTAGGCCGGTTGTGGTTGTAATAGGAGATCACTACCAGAGCCTTTTCCTCGATGTCTAATGCACAAAATAACAGCAATCTATGGTGCTGAAATCCCCATAACTGAAGGTGACCAAATTAGCTTCATTCCCAATCCATCCTTTGTGAGTCATGAACCGCATGTGCACCACTAGTTTGGAATCAGCATTTACCAACTTCCCCTGGTGAATACTGTATACCCGCTAATACGGTTATAGCTGCCAGAAGTTCTGTTTCGCGCTCTTACTTCTATAGAAGCACTCTCATCACGTGAGAACAATGAGCAGGAGTGCCATTTGCGTAAGATATTAACACGTGACTTTATGAGTGCTTTTCCAAAGGGTTGTCGTGCTAGTACCACCTTTACCTATATATCAGGACTTTTGAGAGGCTAATTTAATATTCGTTTCTCTTGACCAGTTGTTTCTGCACATGTACGATTGAGATACGTTTACTACACTAATGCTGCTGTTTCATTGTGGGATGATAAACGAAACCAGGTCCAATCAACGACGGATATACACAAGTTATAACATTAAAGACTAGGTTATTTTTTAGTTTTTTTACATTCATGTGAAGTGCTGTTTCTAAAAACCTTGAAATATGGCTTATCATTCCGACGTTTTGACGAGAGGATAATCATGAAATCCAGTTTTGATGAGTACAGATGTAGAATAAGCTTATTCTTCTTCTAACTTATTGTCTGTATTTAAATTTATTATTTATTCAGCCAAGTTATCGAACAATCGTTGGACATACTGAAAATGTAATCACATCTAAGCATTCAAAAAAGTTTCTAAATAACCCCAATTGCCTAAGAATTCGAAATCTACCGTATTCACTTACTGTGAATGAAATTAAGAAAGAATTTCCCATGGTAATTCATGTCCACTTGGATGTAAATAAATCCGGAATTTTTAATGGGTAAGCAATTCTCTTTTAAATTTAAGCCCAATTTGACACTCCTTTTAGAGATTACTCTGTTATTTTTTGATGGGGTTGACTTCTCTGAGCTGGATTGTTTAATTATGGAGCTTCCGTTGTCATTCTAGACAGTTCATCAGCACAAACTTCAGAAAGAAATGAGCAATAAGGTTTTCTCTGCAATTTATTTAGTAGCTTGTCCCGATGGCCTTGTGTGTGCTTGATTACTTCTGCCAAGGTTTATTTTTATTGGCTATCCTGATGACCTGAAGTTTGACCTTCTTATTGGTTGGTAGATTGGGTCAATGTCAATACGTCTGTTGACTGCTGACTGACCTATCGAGGATTCTCCTATTTTCTAGAACGAACGCCTTATGACTAAACAGTCCAGCTCATAGAACTCAACACCATCAAAGCTAATTCTACTAGTTAACTTCAGTTCTTCTTGATTAGTATGAAATAGTTGGTTTGATTTGGTTCTGAGTAAACTGTCTATATACCTGCTGACAGCATTTATATTTTCAACTTGAATACTATTGGTTGCTATGTCAGTTAGTTGGCATCAACGTGCTACCTGATATTGCTGCAAAACGGCCCAAGTTGACACACCATCAAGAAAGTAGTCAAAGTGGTAGAAGGTCGTGAAACGAGAACATGATGACATGGAAGCATTATAAAATTCGATATGACGATTCAGTTGAAGGTGATATGAGGATGCATTTTTGCTGTTATGTAGTTAAACAAAATGGTTCGTAAAATTAATACGTCTATTCAGAAGTCAATCGTGTAACTTTTGCCAATATCTTGAAATTTGCACTGTTGAATGAGGATGGACCTCTGATACGTGAACTGTTTGATGTGTGCTCCGCAATCCTGGTAGACAATCATCTCTATATTCTTCGTGCGTACTTGCTACCGCATGTACATGTGAATTAAATTAAGTTCCAATTATTCAACAGCATCATATATAAGCAAGTTGACAGTGTGGCTATGGGAAGTCTATTACGACCAGTAATGGCAGACATCTTCATGTCACACTTAGAAAACACTATCCTTAAAACGTGCATTCGATAAAGCCATGCTTCCTTCATTTAAGATATGTTGACGATACCTTCATTATTTGTGAAAACGTTTAACAAGCAAAGAATCTACTTCAACATTTCAAAAATGCACACCATAGTGTTAAGTTTACAATGGAATGGAAAGAGAAGCAGCAATTGAATTTTCTGGACTTATGTTTGAGACGTAATGAAGACTACAACAGAAAGGAACATTCACAGCAGAATTAAATGGAGCAATCAGTAATTAAACTTCAACTGCTTCTACTTAATCAGCTACAAGATACGTTTAGTTAGGACATTGCACCAGATAGCAGAGAAATTATGTTCGCAAGTAAAATTGCAAGGATTATTTCGACTAATTGAACAATGTCTACACAATAATGGTTATCTGTTGAAGTTCGTTCAGAAGTACTGCAAAAGCAAGGGGAAGAGAGTGGGGTGTATTGTTGTTGAAAAGAAACCAGTGTTTCTTACATTGGCTTTCAAGGGAGGTGATGTTGCGACAAGAATCAACAAATGAATTAGGAGTACACTGTCCAGTACCTATCCGGCTGCGAGACGTGTCTCACTATATCAAACAACATATGCAATGACAGTTCAAATTGGGCAAATTTTCAACTCTCGGTAACACTAAATGTATTTACGAGTTCACATGTACGTGTGGTATCGATTACATAGGAAGAACAAAAAGGCGGTTGTCTACCAGCGTTGGCGAACACACACCAAAGAGTCTACGCCTCAGAGGTCCATCCTCGTTCAACAGTGCAATAGCTTGTCAATTATGTGATACCGGACATCAAGTAGATGTTCTTTTCAAAATGAGAAAAAGATCAAGGTTACGTTTTTCACTTTTCATCAGTGAGTACCTAGGACTTCATACCACGTTGAAAGTAGCATCTTCAGTTTCTTTGTTAGCTCGGAAGCAGCAGGTAACATTGTCTGGTTATATGAAAGCACTAAGCATGTAAAGCTTTCCAAACAAGCTGACCGAAAATCGGGACTCGAATAATTCAGCAGTAACGTCTCTGACTGCAGCACTGTGTGACACGAGTTCAAACCTCCGAAGGATATTAATTCCTTTGAAGTTGCAGATATGACTTGTTGGTGAGGGCCAACAACCACGAAACTTAGATGGAGCTTGGCTTCCTACTGATTGCCTCCAATTGTCTAACAGATATCTTGCCCGTGTTAACTGTGGGATGATTCTTTAGGAGTGAAGTATACTTGAAAATAGAGAGTGAAATAATTAAGCGTGCTGGCCACTTCACTCAACTGACAAGTAACATTCGCTCAAGCGTATTGGCGAACAGGGAATTCTCGGCATAGATGCGGAAGTATGGATTGTCACTTGGTAACCTTAGTTGTTTTGATATTGACGAAATATTTGAATACTCAATAAGATTCGAGTATGAAGCTTATCCTTTTTTTACTGTACGCCTTCGGAAAATGTTTGGTATTGGTAAATAACTCAGATAAAAACAAGTGTATTAGTTAGTTGGAGGCAACCGGCAGGAAGCCCTGGATTTAGGTTTCGTGCTCTTTGGCACTCGTCAGCAAGGCCTACCCGCAACCTCGACGGAACTGATGTCCCGCCTGAGGTTAGAACCCGCATCACTCAGTGTTGTAGTTAGCGACTTTACCAGTGAGCTATTCAGATCGCGGTAGACCTCCTGTATGACTTGCTTACATGTATTGATTGGTCACGGTAGTGTAACCAATTTCATATTGTCTAGTCCTGAGTGCAGACAGAATCCTATCGATCATATTTGCAATGTGGCAACCAAGCTAGGAAGCTCAGCATCGCGGTACACATTAGTAGATGTTAGTTGGCTGGAGGCAGTCGGCAGGAGGCCCTGGACCTAGGTTTCGTGCTTTTGGCACCAACTAACATCTACTAATATGCACTGCGATGCTGAGCTTCCTAGCTTGGTTTCTACATTGCAAATATGATCGATAGGATTCTGTCTGCACTCAGGACTAGACAACATGAAATTGGTTGCACTCCCATGACTAATCAATACATAAAAACAAGTGTGTTTTCGGACGGTTACTGGGATATAGTGGGACCATCGAGTGACAATTAATAACTTCAGGTTTAGTGTTTTGGAGTAAAGTAGATTGATGTGATCGAAGGCTTTCATGGATTGAGGTCCTTTGGGCGTATGTTTTCTATATTGAACCGCTGTGTGATATTATACGGGATAATAATAGAGAAAAGAGGTCTTCAGGCTTCGAGCGATCCCATTACTTTCAGTTATGACTCTTACAGAGACTCCACTTTATTGTGTGGTATTTCTCGGTAATCTCGAATAGGATTGAAATCCACTCACCAATCTTGTACACATTCGTTCAGTTGGCGATGAGCCACACCTATTGTGTGAGAGGGCTTATGAGACTACCTGGCTACCCAAACCTTGATAGGTGGGACGATGCTTGAACCCGAGACTCACTGATTAAAAGTCGCCTTCCTAAGCTGATCAGCTCGTTAGTCTAGGTACTAAACTTCCACCTAGTCGATCATCAATTAGAACTAGATTGCTTCCGCCCAAAGTTTAGAAAGTCAATTAGTATAAAAAGCCCCCATAAAAGGTATGACTGATAACCAACAAAAGGTAAAACCGAAATGCACTCAGCTCCCACGTGCGCCTATATGTAGTGGGTAATGAGACATACCTATGTAAAGGTTAGTGATACTATCTGGCTATACAAACTTAGTGGTTAGAGCGCACTTAAAATACGTAACCGACTGATCGGAAGTCGAGTACCTAGATCAGTAAACCGAAGCTGTACCCATGATCTGGTGCAGGAATGTGTACGTGATTGTTAAACTTTATTGTTTTGTTTACCTGTTTTACTCTGTAACACTGTATCAACATCGTGATCAGTTTAAGTGTATTTCTTCTTTTATTGACATTAACTCACTGCCGTGCTAAGGAGTGTAGCGTCTTGATCCCAATAGTGTTTAACTTTTATCTTTCTAATTGTTAGTTCGTACTTTAACTTGAGGCCACTATCTATTACCGAGATATGTCACGGAAAGATTTAAGTGTATCTTTCATCTATTGTAAATAAATAACTTTGTGGTCAAAGTCTTTGTGAGTTTCTGTGCTAATAATAATAAAAATTTTCTTGAAAATATTCCAGATCTTGCATATTAGAACTGAAAAATAGGGAAGATATGCAGGTTGTCTTGGATAATTGTAAACACAAATATATTGGTGGTCGCTTAATCAGAGCAGATGTTTGTCATGAATCGAAGTTCAAACCTGACAAACCTATCCATTCAAGTGTTGTTTACGGTTTAAAGCTTCGAGATGTACCGTGTGTTATTAGTGATGATCAGATTAGAGGACTCTTTCCTGAGAAGTCTTTGACAGGATTAAGCTCGAAATTGGGAAGTGATTCTGCCACCACCAGGTTAGTAATAATATTATGTTATTGATTTATTTACTTTTGAAGAATTCATCTTTCAATACGATATTACTGATAAAAAAGAAGCAATGACTCTTACTTAAATATATTTATAATTTTCTATTATTGATTTTACTAGCGTGAATCATCAGCCCTATCACCATGTCGATTCACTGAGGATTTTCTGTCATATATCGTTTTGCATTTCATTGTGATGTTGATTGTCTGTTGATGGCTAGTAGAGGGATTCAAGAGATACGTTCCATGCTACTTACAACTAGTCACCTGGATATCTCTCCATCCCAGTGAATGAAAGTGCCGCTACTGTAGCTTAGACTCAACACCTATCTACTTCATCACTAGATTTTTATCTACGAAACTACTGAACCACGAAAGCCACCTATTTTGCAAGCATCTTTCCTATTTGAGTTCGATCACTTCGCTTAAGAACAGAGAAATTCAAGCAGGTGCCAGATCTAGACGTAGATGCATTCATTCATATCACCTTTCAACAGGTTTCGTAGCAAAGGTTTACTTAGTGACGGCTGACACTTGGTATATTTGTTAACCTGAAGGTAGCATTTCACTCTCTCGACTAAGTGGTGTAATAGTAGTGTCTGAGGGGAGTGAAGGGAGTACTGAGCAAGTATGTAATCCTAATCAAAACTTTCTACTCGAACTCACGCAATCGTGTTAAAGCTTATGAAGAGTTGTCATGTGAATTGATGGCAACCAGTGGTGTCAGATGTACCTGTTATTGCTTAACTTCGTTATGGGCGTGCGAATGGCTTTTGAAGATCTTGACCAGAAACTTGAGTGTTTGATATGCAGCTGGTGCCTATCAAATGGAGAATGCTGTTTCAAGATTAGTCTGCAACTGCTAGTTTAAGGATAGAGTGTGAAGTGCTCTGACCGCTTCGCTTACTTAAGAAGTTCTTTCAACCTGATAACATTGACCGACTGAGGTGATCATTCTGAGCCACTGCATACCTCATCATAGAGTGTTAACCTATATAGAACTCGGTTGGAAGAAGGCTCAGGGTTACCAGACAACGTGCAGCACCGGTCCATAAAATCTCTGACTGTTTATCTGAATCATAAAGAGAAGCATAGGTTGTGTGACTCGAATCCTCGAGATTGTTCTAATTGATCACCCGTGTTTGGTAATTTTACTTGTTCTTTTTTGAGCTAATTCGAGTTTTGGTTGGAAACTGTCCACAAAATCCTTGTCTATTATTTTTACAAACAGTCATTCTGTAAGCTTGTACATTCCTTGGTAAATTCGGTGTCAAATTCAAGGTCAACAGAGTGATATTTTTCGCTTTAGTGATTTTCATTATTTTGATTTTCAATTCAGAGTTCTTATTTTGCGACCTATTAAAATTTTTATCATATTTCATATGAACATCAAAGATATGGACGTTTGCGCTCAATTTGTTTGAGCAAATGTACTCAGCACACACATACTACACGATCCAAACAATTAAAGTCTTGTTTTTTCGAAATCCTGTCAAAATTCTATTGCTTACCTAACAACTTTCGGCTACTTTCATTCTATGCTCTTTTTTTACATTTTCTTTCATATAGAAATGTGTTTATTTTCTTCAAAAAGAATGCTCAACGAAAATCTGCTTTGAAAATGTTCAAGAAAGAAGTGATCATGGGATATCCTATTTCATGTCGATTGTGGGGTATGAATTTAATTAGTTAATGCAAAATGACAATCATTTGCACAAAGATTGTTTTTAAAAAGTTTCTTAGTGGTAATTTTTAAAAAACATGTTTGATTGAACAAAGTGTTAGATCTCATGAGTACTGGTCGTGGCGAATACCAAGAAGACACTGCTAGTGCTCTGTGGTAGCTTAGGTAGTTATAAACTAGTAGATTGTGTCTAAGTCACCAAAGTGCAAGTGAAGATTGACCAGTGGTCAACATTTAGTTGTAGTATATGGAATGGTTGACTGTCGTACATAATTTTTATCAAATTTATATAGTCAGTTGATTGCACACTTCAGCTCATCGTTATTTTCTTTCTCAAGAAAGTTTAGACTACTGTCATTAGTTCTTTATCAGATTTATTTTTATTCTTACTCTGTACAAAATAGTAACCGTTGTGTGTAAATTAGTAAATGTGTATTCTAGTGGAAGCATAACTTATAAAGCTGTATCTGCCGGAGTTCCACGGAGAACAAGGTAAAGTCGTTTAGCATTTGGAACTGACTAATCGTTATTTCATGCTGTCAGCTTCTAATAACAAGTTATCTTAATGGGATGGGAAATAATGAATGCAGTTGACTTGGATCTGCCTAAATCAACCATTGCACTGTGAAATTCACTCGATAGATGTTGTGAATAAAAACTACTTCTTGGAAGGTATGAGAATAGTAAATGTATCTCATTCGTCTTTCAATCATCAGCTAAAAGAAGAGATACCATCACTGAGAAAAATCACTAACATAAGTATTTATCACGTTGTAAACTTCACGTGTACTAGACGGATCAACCTAGAAAGTTAACAGTGGTCATGTCTCTGAGGTCTCTAACTGGATTCATCAAACTTGAAATGGGATAAGGGTTAGTTTGGGTTGGTTAGGAATAATGCTTGATTATTAAGTGTCTGCATACATACTCTGTGTTTTAGGGTAGTATCATCTCCAAGTATCACTGAACCTTTTTAAAGGAAAAAAAGCGAATCACTAGTATATCTTAAAAAACTGCTGGCTTCTATGCATTTGTTCATCGGTAACAAGTTTGTCAAGTACTTGAACAAACAGTGTATACACTGTATATGTGCTGACATATACTGGTAGACTGAACCCTGGCAATAATATAAGGTGTGACAAAAGCTTTTAATGGTTTTAATCGGGATCCATGTCTCATGATAATACTTGCAACACAAAAATTAATTGATAACGTTATTTTGTTCAATGTTAGTGTATCAGTTGTTGTTCAGTTCACTAGATTAAGGGTGTACTTCTGTATCTTCTGTGAAACTCGGGTCGTATGTTGAAGTTATAACTGCGTTAGTGGCTTCTATTTTCATAGATTTATTAGTCGTATCACACAAGAAATATACACCGATATGATCAACACAATACCAAACATTACTGCGTAACCGTCCAAGTTACCATACCTCAGATCAGTACCCATCAATAAAAACAACACACTAAGATAGAAGATTAAAAAAATAGCGAAAACAGTCAAAAGTGGTAGAAAGTCGTGATAAGATAACAAGGAGGAATAAGAAAATGCTGAATTCATTATGACGATTAGGATTCGGATAATGTGTGGGTGCATGTGCACCACTGAGATCGATTGTGAGCCATGTAACCTAGAGTTTCTAGCTACTGGTTTCTGTTGTCACACGGACGACAGTCTATAAATCGACATTACCTTACTGTGATTAGACCAACAGACAGTGATTTAGTGCATTGATGCCATGTCCTTGTCTGATTGCCTCTAACCTTTTCCTAGCCTAATACTGACTGACAAAATCAACACAGAACGTAGCACACAGCTGCATCCGCTCAAGTTGCCACACTTCACACTAAAACAAAAAGAACAGGTGGATAGAAAAAGAGTGATATCAAAGCAAAAATAATGTGAGAGAATAAATAATCTGAAGATGAAGGTCAATACGAACATTCAAACTTTAGAAGACATCAAAAAGTGAATACATCTGTGCCATTGTGACCGATTTTCAGTCATGCCACCAAGACTCCTTAACCACTGATACCTTTCGTCTCGGGGACTCAACCAGACAGTCTACATCCATCTCCCCATATGACTTGGAACAACAGTAGGAGATTCACGTCTCAGTCTGGCGAGCGTGAACCCTCTTCCAACCGAATCCAACTTCCCCTAGCCTGCATGGCAGATTTAGGTAGGCAGTGTGGCGGCATGCGTAGTACATGTCCAAGCCATCTCAGTCGATGAACGTTCACAACCACATCAACAGACTTGCCGGTCTCACCAAGTATCCTTCTCATGACTTCAACATTGCTAACGTGGTGATTTTCGCAAATGCGAGCACCAGAACGGCGTTTGCATCCGAGCTGCGATTTCTCAAGGGACAAGCCGGTTTGGTGGGCTGACACAGCTCCTCAAGTAAGTGAGGTGGTTGACATATTCCTCCATTTCACTTCCTACCATTAGACTGGGAGCACTTGTGGTAATCCAGTCGTGGAGCATCATCTCACGTTTGACAGGTACGAAATGTATGCCAACCAACCAAACATACTCAGATCTCTGCTTAACGCATCCATAAGATCCTACAGCATATTTTCAGCACAATCATCTACCAGGACAATATCGTCTGCATACTCCAAGTCAACTAGATGATCTACAGGAAGTAGATCAATCCCTGTGAAGTCAGACGCACCTAAGGTTATATCCGTTAGTACTTCCATGACGAAGCTAAATAGGAACGGCGACAGTGGACATCCCTGGTGAACACCACTAGTTGTCATCAATTCCGATGAATACTATACATAAATCTACACGTTGCTGCATGAGTATGGGCAGAGAGCTTTGAGTAGTGCTATATACTTGCTCGGTACTCCCTTCACAGACAAACACTGCCATAACACCTTACGGTCGACAGAGTCAAGTGCCAACAGCTTCAGGTCAACAAATATGGCAATTGTCGGCAATTGGCCAATAGGAATGTCTATATTCTATAAACTGTCGTGGGGTGAAAATATGATCTATGTATCCTCGTCCATGTATGAAACTTGCCTGGTTTCTCGAGTTTGCAGTTCTCCATCTCTGGCTCTGCTTAGGCGTCGAATAACCGTGGACCACAGAATCTTGGACATAGTATTAGTCAAACTAATTACCCTATGGTTATCAAAAGATGGTTTCTCTCCATTTTTACAGACTCGGATGATCAATGAAGTACACCAATCTGACGGCACTACCTCTGATTCTCATACACTACCTAGTACCTCCGTCATCTTAGACACTAATTTCCTAACTCCATCCTTGAAAACTTCAAGCGATAAACTGTGAGGCCTTGCTGCTTTGCACTGTTTCAGATTCAATACAACTTTCTGACACGGTGATTCTACCAAACGCGAGCAATCTTACGACACTGGTGTCCGTAAAAATGTAACCGCCTCATATCTTCTACTTGTAACGGCCACAACACAATTGTATAGCAGAACACAACGGAATCCAGCGCAGGAGTCTCGTTGTTTGTTCTGTAGTATTATGTGTAGTTTTTTTAGTTTTATGTAGCAAAGCTGACAACTTTAGTTTGTTGTCGGAAATACTTCTCAGTTGTATTTTGATTTTCAATGTGTTAATTTTTGGTATGCATCATGGGTTATTGTGAATTTTGTGTACTTCTGCTTCAGTTGCTGCTAACCAAAGACGTAATTGTCGGAAGAAAGAAAGAAGCATATCGATTACCCCGAGCACCATGAATTCAAACTCAAGTAAACAGATGTTTTAATATTTGGTTCAGTAATGATGATGAGAATTGACGATAACTATTTCAAGTTAGTGAGGATTAAAATGGAGTTGATGTCATGGAAGAAAATCCTGGAGGTCTAAGATTGTGTGGCCACTCTTTTATCGGACATCACCAATGGGTCTCAAGTCTTTGAAAATAAAAATTGAAACTTTTAAGCTTCCGGGCAAATCATATCGTCTTTATTCTTGTATTTGTGACTTTGATAATTGATTCACATTGAAAATTGTACTGAAGTTTATTCAAAGAAAAGTTCTTTGTTGTGCAAACAGTTAATAGACCTAACGCCTATGATACTAGGTGTTAACAGTTGGAGTACGAATTCAGTTGTGATTCCTTATGTTTGTTATACATTTACATGTCCCACCAACCATGTGGAAGTTCCTGGAGTAGAGCACTAGCTATTACTTGACTACGCAAACCCCAGTAGACAGGCAAAGCTGGAAATAGAACCATGTAACTCACTATTCAAAAGTAAACTCCCTCATTAGTGTGACACAGCTCCACATGTCTATAACGCAGAGGTTCTGCGATCAAAGATTAGAATACATAATTTCTCTAACTTCTAATTTGTCAGAAATATTACTACTTTGAACGGAACCTGTGAACCTCTGGAGTCGTTAAACGTTTCCTTCCCAACAAATGTGGCAGTTATTTAAACCATTCATATTATGTATGTAGATTGGCTGATGACGTCCGACCGATAGCTGCTAACCTGACTCGTATATTGCAACGACCCGACGAGTTATACTGCTGTGAACAATGTTTACTCTAGGCCCTACCATGCTAGAAACGTCTATTGAAAGTTGTAAGACTAAAAGTAGTCACCGTTATAGTGACTGAGAGCTTTTCAAAGTGGTTATTTTGATTGCTGGCATCTGACATGTTGCCATGTGAGCTTTACCTGGCATCACTAACATTAGTAGTCATTATTTTGTCCAATGGAATGAGTAATTTTGAGCATGGTTTTAACTAGTTTCTTCATATATTTATTTGAACGAAATAATAACCCCTAATGTCAGTCACGCCACATTTAGCTGAACAAAATGGCAACATGTCGGATACTGACAGTCGGTTATTTTAGAGTCCTATAGCAACACGCTTTTCAAATTATGTACCTGAAATCGACTCAATCAAGTAGTTTTCAGCAGTCGTCAGACAACAAAGTCAAAAGATGCTTGCAAAACTGTTCCATTTGGGTCTATCAAGTAACCATCTGTATGCAACAGAAAAATCGCATTCGCTCTGAGTATCTCTTAGCAGCACTTTCAAGGCACTGGGAGCAATAGTTAATTACATTCCTCTTGTCTTCTCCTATATTCCTTAATAACTTGTTCTACTTGGTGAATAGATTCATTACTACTATTCATTGCCTATTCAATCATCAGACAGACAGAATCAACGTAGAACCTCGCACACAAGTGCATCAGTTCAAGTTGCCACGCTTCACAGCAGTATACAAAGAACAAGTAGATAAAATAAGAGTGATATCGAAGTGAAAAAAAGTTGTATGAGAGAACAAGTAGTTTGAAGATGAAGGTTGATGCGAGTATTCAATCTCTAGAAGATGTCAGGGAGGGAATACATATACACCATTGTGACCAGTTTTCAGCCATGTCACCAAGATTCCTCAACCACTGATTCTTATCGTTTCGTGGACCCTAACCAGGTAGTCCATATCTCCTCACACGGCTCGGACCGACAGTCGGACCTCCATCCTTGAGAACTTCAGTTGGGAGACTGTCAAGTCCTGGTACCTTGGATCGTTTCAGATTCGATGCAGCCTTTTCAACTGCAGGGAGAGTTAGTGAACTGACATCTGCGTGCCATTTTAGGTTGGGTGTTGGGAGACTGAAGCGTTTCTGAGGACCAGCTGAACTGTGCTTCAACGTTCTAGACACCTATCCTAAGAAGTTACCAGCGTTCCATCATTTTCATTGACGATTTCACCAATCATTAACTTCTTCATTCTGGTATCCTCAGTAAGCCTAAATAATTGCACAGAGCTACCAACTTCCGATTCATTCTCCATCGTCTCCTCGCTTTCTCCACGCACCACTTCTCGCGATTTAGGCGAAGATTCTTAGTTAACTTATGTTTGAGTTTCTTTCAGTCTCCATCGTGGTGAGAGCCAGTTGAAATCAGTTTTCTCCCAGCCATTAGTTCAGATGACGTTGTGCATATAGCTTAGCAACTGCTTTTACCACTGTTTCTACAGCAGACTTGAAACGACGTGAGATTTCTCAAAGACGAGCATTTCTGTAATGTTCATATAAATGCCTCGCTAACTTCTCTCAAAATGCATACTTGGTGTCGTCATCTCCTACAACACAATAGACAAACCTTAATATTCCCTGTGACCTGTGACCAGCAAGATGCATATATCCATGTTAGATTATGAACACAAGATAAGAGTCCAATCAGGTGCTGAATAAAGAATGGAAATCCAATTGGCTCAATTTCCTTGTTTGAGCGTCAAAGTCACCTGCCATTTTGACTTTATCTGTACATTTTGCTTTCTTTGGCGAAATTTACAGCTCGTAGTAGAATTCATCCTTTGCATCATGTGAACTACAGTTGGTGGGTACGTAGGCGGACATTACGAATAAATATCGGTTGGTCTAACGATTCTTCCTAGTTCTTACAGATCCACTCTGTTGAACAGCACAGAGATGGCTGTTGACTGGTTTCGAGTCGAGAAAGCTTGATTTCCGCTCTACAGCACAATGCTATGCTCACATCAGCGAGTTCACGAGAGGATGGCCAATGATGTCCGGATACTTGTAAAGTGCATTTAAAAGATTCACTACAATGGCCAAGTGAGAGCAATTTAGTAACTACACTATGCTCCTGTATGCGTGTCGCAGAGACACAGCATATACCGTTGGCTTGGGATTCCAAAGTTCTGGCGAGCGATGGTTGCTGTTCAGTTAGGCATAATGTTTAGACGTTGAGAGCTGCAACAGGAAATCCTCAACGTGAAATCAATGGATTCGACCGTTGGCAATAGTCTCAGAGTGAGTGGTTGAGGAAGATGTAAGCGGCTTAATATTAGTTTCAGGAGGTGTGGAAAAAGGTGGAGTGGGTTGAGGAGTATTGGTTATGTTTATTGGGTATTGTATACTTCTGAAGGCTTGTGGGCGGTTGAAACTTCTCAGCTGCCAATACCGTGGAAGGTTATTTCTTCTTAAGGTACTTGGAAGAGGAAAGAATTTGTGTGACTGAAGAGTCCATAGGACATGCACTTGATGCCTGTCACACATTTCCTTTCGAAGATTGTTGGTGTGAGATGTGATTTGTCTAACGCAGAATACAGAAAATGCATACCGTCGGCACCAGAAGACCGTGGAGCAGAGAGGAGCGTGCTACTTTTGATGTCAACCTCTTCTAACCCACTCCTTTCCGTAGGGAAGGTAGTATCAGGTTGGCACCTTTGGTAGTCCAAGAGAAACATCTTACTGCTGTTACCATCGTACCCTGCCAGCAGTGTGACTCCGCCCTCGAACTCCCAGCATAGGGTAGCATTTTATACTACAACAGTAACTGCTTTTCGTCTTACCAATATCTATTTGACTTCCGTGGTATGTTAAGACGTTGAGTGGACAGGCGTTGCAGCTAGTGTAGCTTGTTGCGTGATTGTGGTATGCAATCCCGACTACCACCTCAAGGTAGCAGCTATTGGTCAGGTTTTAGGGGATGTTAGAGGTTGGAGAATCATTCAATAAAAGTTTCTTACTCTTTTAACACTTTCGACGAGAAAGCATGTGTAAATCTGAACCAGTGATTCTTATCATTCTGAGGACGCTAGCCGGCCAGTTTACACATCGTTTCCGCGCCCGAGCTAGGGACTTCATGGATTGATTCCATGTTTTGGTCTCTTCATTCTGGGATTCTTCTAAGCTAATCCTACTTCAGCTATCATCACCTCTCGTGGTAGAAGTGACTCGAATCCATGTTTTGCATGAATTTTAAGGTGGAGGCGTTGTCTAAACTTCTGGTTTTTGTTGGGCAGAATCTTCAGTGATGTTCTAGTCGGTAATGAAGATAACAATTTTCTCATGGGTATTCATATAAATTTATTCACTCAGTCGTTTTACCTTGTCTCCATTCGACTGGTCAAGCATTGGTAAATTGGTGAGCAGAAAAGAATTGTTAGGAAACGCACGAGGAGATATGTTAACCAGCCTTGAAGTTGCACTGATTATAATGACTAGAATGTTGTAAAAAGCTTAGTTTCAAAGACAAGCAGTTTGGAAGAGATTTCTGCTATAGGTGTTATTCTCAATCGTGTAATAAATTTGTTCGATAGATGTTAAGCGTCCATCGGTAGTAGGCCCATGTCTCGTGCTTGCCAGCACCCATCAGAAAGGCTTATCTACAATCTCGCAGGTTTTAATCTCCAAGAGCAACATTAATTTCACGGGGTTTCGAGATTGGCCTTGTTGATATTATATGTCCATGTTGATTTTATGGATGATAATGTAACGACTAGACATCTCAAGACTCTAAACCATTGCGATTTGTTGAGTAGTGTTTTTTTTATATACTGAAATTAGACATACCCGGGAGACGTGAAGAAAAGCCGAATTCTGATCTACATGGAAATGTCTCCACAACTAGTAAGAAACACATTGTGTTTGATTCTGGTAAGTTAACATAGTCGTTTATTTTTCTGTATCTATTCATATCTATCTAAATCTTAATGTCTTCATTATTTATCTTGCATGTTATCCAATCTTTACCCAGATCAGTAATAGTGCACATGTGATTGTAAGCCTCTTAGATTTGTCAGGACATTGTGAAATGGTCTATTGAATTTTGTCAGCACTCAAGACTAGAAAGAATGAAGTTGTTTATTGTTCAGTCACGACCGAAATCTTTCCTCCACTTTAAACGGAACCTGTGAACCTCTGGAGTCGTTAAACGTTTCCTTCCCAACAAATGTGGCAGTTATTTAAACCATTCATATTATGTATGTAGATTGGCTGATGACGTCCGACCGATAGCTGCTAACCTGACTCGTATATTGCAACGACCCGACGAGTTATACTGCTGTGAACAATGTTTACTCTAGGCCCTACCATGCTAGAAACGTCTATTGAAAGTTGTAAGACTAAAAGTAGTCACCGTTATAGTGACTGAGAGCTTTTCAAAGTGGTTATTTTGATTGCTGGCATCTGACATGTTGCCATGTGAGCTTTACCTGGCATCACTAACATTAGTAGTCATTATTTTGTCCAATGGAATGAGTAATTTTGAGCATGGTTTTAACTAGTTTCTTCATATATTTATTTGAACGAAATAATAACCCCTAATGTCAGTCACGCCACATTTAGCTGAACAAAATGGCAACATGTCGGATACTGACAGTCGGTTATTTTAGAGTCCTATAGCAACACGCTTTTCAAATTATGTACCTGAAATCGACTCAATCAAGTAGTTTTCAGCAGTCGTCAGACAACAAAGTCAAAAGATGCTTGCAAAACTGTTCCATTTGGGTCTATCAAGTAACCATCTGTATGCAACAGAAAAATCGCATTCGCTCTGAGTATCTCTTAGCAGCACTTTCAAGGCACTGGGAGCAATAGTTAATTACATTCCTCTTGTCTTCTCCTATATTCCTTAATAACTTGTTCTACTTGGTGAATAGATTCATTACTACTATTCATTGCCTATTCAATCATCAGACAGACAGAATCAACGTAGAACCTCGCACACAAGTGCATCAGTTCAAGTTGCCACGCTTCACAGCAGTATACAAAGAACAAGTAGATAAAATAAGAGTGATATCGAAGTGAAAAAAAGTTGTATGAGAGAACAAGTAGTTTGAAGATGAAGGTTGATGCGAGTATTCAATCTCTAGAAGATGTCAGGGAGGGAATACATATACACCATTGTGACCAGTTTTCAGCCATGTCACCAAGATTCCTCAACCACTGATTCTTATCGTTTCGTGGACCCTAACCAGGTAGTCCATATCTCCTCACACGGCTCGGACCGACAGTCGGACCTCCATCCTTGAGAACTTCAGTTGGGAGACTGTCAAGTCCTGGTACCTTGGATCGTTTCAGATTCGATGCAGCCTTTTCAACTGCAGGGAGAGTTAGTGAACTGACATCTGCGTGCCATTTTAGGTTGGGTGTTGGGAGACTGAAGCGTTTCTGAGGACCAGCTGAACTGTGCTTCAACGTTCTAGACACCTATCCTAAGAAGTTACCAGCGTTCCATCATTTTCATTGACGATTTCACCAATCATTAACTTCTTCATTCTGGTATCCTCAGTAAGCCTAAATAATTGCACAGAGCTACCAACTTCCGATTCATTCTCCATCGTCTCCTCGCTTTCTCCACGCACCACTTCTCGCGATTTAGGCGAAGATTCTTAGTTAACTTATGTTTGAGTTTCTTTCAGTCTCCATCGTGGTGAGAGCCAGTTGAAATCAGTTTTCTCCCAGCCATTAGTTCAGATGACGTTGTGCATATAGCTTAGCAACTGCTTTTACCACTGTTTCTACAGCAGACTTGAAACGACGTGAGATTTCTCAAAGACGAGCATTTCTGTAATGTTCATATAAATGCCTCGCTAACTTCTCTCAAAATGCATACTTGGTGTCGTCATCTCCTACAACACAATAGACAAACCTTAATATTCCCTGTGACCTGTGACCAGCAAGATGCATATATCCATGTTAGATTATGAACACAAGATAAGAGTCCAATCAGGTGCTGAATAAAGAATGGAAATCCAATTGGCTCAATTTCCTTGTTTGAGCGTCAAAGTCACCTGCCATTTTGACTTTATCTGTACATTTTGCTTTCTTTGGCGAAATTTACAGCTCGTAGTAGAATTCATCCTTTGCATCATGTGAACTACAGTTGGTGGGTACGTAGGCGGACATTACGAATAAATATCGGTTGGTCTAACGATTCTTCCTAGTTCTTACAGATCCACTCTGTTGAACAGCACAGAGATGGCTGTTGACTGGTTTCGAGTCGAGAAAGCTTGATTTCCGCTCTACAGCACAATGCTATGCTCACATCAGCGAGTTCACGAGAGGATGGCCAATGATGTCCGGATACTTGTAAAGTGCATTTAAAAGATTCACTACAATGGCCAAGTGAGAGCAATTTAGTAACTACACTATGCTCCTGTATGCGTGTCGCAGAGACACAGCATATACCGTTGGCTTGGGATTCCAAAGTTCTGGCGAGCGATGGTTGCTGTTCAGTTAGGCATAATGTTTAGACGTTGAGAGCTGCAACAGGAAATCCTCAACGTGAAATCAATGGATTCGACCGTTGGCAATAGTCTCAGAGTGAGTGGTTGAGGAAGATGTAAGCGGCTTAATATTAGTTTCAGGAGGTGTGGAAAAAGGTGGAGTGGGTTGAGGAGTATTGGTTATGTTTATTGGGTATTGTATACTTCTGAAGGCTTGTGGGCGGTTGAAACTTCTCAGCTGCCAATACCGTGGAAGGTTATTTCTTCTTAAGGTACTTGGAAGAGGAAAGAATTTGTGTGACTGAAGAGTCCATAGGACATGCACTTGATGCCTGTCACACATTTCCTTTCGAAGATTGTTGGTGTGAGATGTGATTTGTCTAACGCAGAATACAGAAAATGCATACCGTCGGCACCAGAAGACCGTGGAGCAGAGAGGAGCGTGCTACTTTTGATGTCAACCTCTTCTAACCCACTCCTTTCCGTAGGGAAGGTAGTATCAGGTTGGCACCTTTGGTAGTCCAAGAGAAACATCTTACTGCTGTTACCATCGTACCCTGCCAGCAGTGTGACTCCGCCCTCGAACTCCCAGCATAGGGTAGCATTTTATACTACAACAGTAACTGCTTTTCGTCTTACCAATATCTATTTGACTTCCGTGGTATGTTAAGACGTTGAGTGGACAGGCGTTGCAGCTAGTGTAGCTTGTTGCGTGATTGTGGTATGCAATCCCGACTACCACCTCAAGGTAGCAGCTATTGGTCAGGTTTTAGGGGATGTTAGAGGTTGGAGAATCATTCAATAAAAGTTTCTTACTCTTTTAACACTTTCGACGAGAAAGCATGTGTAAATCTGAACCAGTGATTCTTATCATTCTGAGGACGCTAGCCGGCCAGTTTACACATCGTTTCCGCGCCCGAGCTAGGGACTTCATGGATTGATTCCATGTTTTGGTCTCTTCATTCTGGGATTCTTCTAAGCTAATCCTACTTCAGCTATCATCACCTCTCGTGGTAGGAGTGACTCGAATCCATGTTTTGCATGAATTTTAAGGTGGAGGCGTTGTCTAAACTTCTGGTTTTTGTTGGGCAGAATCTTCAGTGATGTTCTAGTCGGTAATGAAGATAACAATTTTCTCATGGGTATTCATATAAATTTATTCACTCAGTCGTTTTACCTTGTCTCCATTCGACTGGTCAAGCATTGGTAAATTGGGTGAGCAGAAAAGAATTGTTAGGAAACGCACGAGGAGATATGTTAACCAGCCTTGAAGTTGCACTGATTATAATGACTAGAATGTTGTAAAAAGCTTAGTTTCAAAGACAAGCAGTTTGGAAGAGATTTCTGCTATAGGTGTTATTCTCAATCGTGTAATAAATTTGTTCGATAGATGTTAAGCGTCCATCGGTAGTAGGCCCATGTCTCGTGCTTGCCAGCACCCATCAGAAAGGCTTATCTACAATCTCGCAGGTTTTAATCTCCAAGAGCAACATTAATTTCACGGGGTTTCGAGATTGGCCTTGTTGATATTATATGTCCATGTTGATTTTATGGATGATAATGTAACGACTAGACATCTCAAGACTCTAAACCATTGCGATTTGTTGAGTAGTGTTTTTTTTATATACTGAAATTAGACATACCCGGGAGACGTGAAGAAAAGCCGAATTCTGATCTACATGGAAATGTCTCCACAACTAGTAAGAAACACATTGTGTTTGATTCTGGTAAGTTAACATAGTCGTTTATTTTTCTGTATCTATTCATATCTATCTAAATCTTAATGTCTTCATTATTTATCTTGCATGTTATCCAATCTTTACCCAGATCAGTAATAGTGCACATGTGATTGTAAGCCTCTTAGATTTGTCAGGACATTGTGAAATGGTCTATTGAATTTTGTCAGCACTCAAGACTAGAAAGAATGAAGTTGTTTATTGTTCAGTCACGACCGAAGTCTTTCCTCCGGTCTTTTATTTTTAATTGGTTTTTGTCGAATGTGTTTGATGTCTGCATGGTTTGTTGACGATTGAATTCGGGGAAACCGCATTGTTTTTTTTTCCTGATGCCGAGCTGGGAATTGAATAATCGAGGTTTCAGTGTGTGAACCCTTCGTCACATCGGTCAATTATCGTCACCGGTGAGACCTGTAATATCTTGAGCTATGTAGGAGTGGTGCTTTATTGAGATACCGATCCAAGATTTGAGTACTGTTATTGATACTTTTCTGGATGAGGGTAACGAATCTGCGAAATTAAGCCTTTGCCTTTCGGAGATTCGGTGACAATTTTTAACGATCTTGTTGGTGTAGGCGTAACAGTAAATGTTAGTGAGTACAAAAGGAGATGGTGCATCTCACCGTTTTATTTTTGTCGCTTCCGTGTATGCATCCACTCATTGCTATTTGTGCAGTCTGAAGCGTGGGTTCCATCAGAAACCGTTTAACGTCCTGTGGAAAACCAAACCTTCAGTCGTAATTTTTATAGCCGGTGAATGCAGTGCATACGTAGTCAAACTTTGTTGGGCAAAAGACACTTAATTGGCACTTTTGGAATCGCTGCCGTAAGAACGACTAACGACTACCTCCTGCTTTACCTCTCCATGAACAACCAGGTGAATTTGGTTACAGAGGAAGGGGACATTGTCTGGCTTGACAACAACTCAAAAGTGGACACACTTGGACCATATGGTTAAAAGTTATTACGGGCGAAAGTTTGTGGAAGAATGTTGGTTCATCTGTAGTAGGCACTTGGACAGTGATGACACTGTTCCAGCACTCGTAAATCTGCATATTAGTGAACGCGGAAAAATACATCAGCCAGACCATTGCGTGCGCACATCGATAATTAAGGTACTGGAGTTGTTTTCAATAACGAACTGGCTACGCAGTTATCGGAAGAGTACAACGTAACTGACTCAGTAGGAGCCTGGAGCCAACTCCAATAAGCTGTTAAAACAGCGTTGAAGACTACAACTAACCACCAGAAGAAGGCTACAAAGAAGCAGTGGATCTCAACAGCTTCTTCTAAATTCATGGGTGCACATGATGAATGGACTCCTACAAGCTTCGAACACGGTGATGAGCGAAGATAGTCGAAATGTAGACCAACATCTAGTCTATACAGTGAGTGATGTTAGGCAACGAAGACTTGAGAGTTGCAAGGAGCATTGGTGACAGACAACAGTGGACAGGTTTCAGACTTATCAAGGGAACTGAAGCAAAAACGTCTATGGTTAGTGAAAGTATAGTAGAGAAGAATAGATCTGTGATCGACTCGTTGATACGACGACTGGAACGATGGGTGAGGCAACTCGAGGAACTGTTCAACTGGCCTCCACTTAGTCTTCGGTTGCCGGCTATCTAGTTGAATTATGAATGGAACACTGAGATAAGGTCTTGAATTTATGCAGAGGGTGAGAAGGCTTTTGGTAACGTGAAACAAGGAATGACAGTAGGCAAGTTGGATTTGTACGAGAGGTACTTAATGACGATGGCCGAGGATTATTGTTTGGATAAAATGAAGTTTCAGCAAACGCATGGGAGTCAGATTTGATCCGCTCCAACTGGTCCTAATCACTGATAGTCTCAGTCTTCCATAACGGTTGTAAACCTCTCTCGACAACTGCGGAAAAACTAGTCTGACGACTCTGGTGCCTTTTTTATGACTTAAACTTGTATACATATCAGTGTGGTGGAATAAGCAATTTCAACGTTTTGCAAACATTGAAATTTTTACAAGCACTACTTATATCTTATATTGACTGTATATTCGATGCCCAATGTTCGTGAAGCTATCTGTTATATTTGGATTGGATATCTGAGTGAAGCTTGGGAACACAAAACTTTAGATTACAACTGAGGATCAGATCGGAGCATGAGTATGTCAACCAGATAGTCACCCTCCACTGGGTTATCCAACGCAAGCACGCATACTGACACCCAACAGTAGTTGTCTTTCTTCAACTGCTGGTGCTTTTCGAACCTGTTGATGGAGAAGTCTTACGGCAGTGCCTCTCGTTGGAAAAGGGTGTAGGATGAGTACTGCACACTACTGAAAACTCTTTATAAGAACACCGGTGTACATACCAGAGGCTATGCTGAGGTATCAGGTGAGTTGTATGCATCAGGTAGTATGTTAACGGTGTCCATCTTTCTATTCCTGCTTAACCTTGGGATGGATGTGTTTATGGATATCTTCTTTCTTCATGCCTAACTTTACGAGGATTGACCTTGTCTTGTCACAGGAGATTGCTTAGTAGACCTAGAGTATGCAGACGACGTGGTTCCATTAGGTGAAGACGCTGACAAGGTGCAGTGTTTCCTGGGGCTTTGATCGTTGCCGATGATCGCAGAGTGAGAGGTTGGGGGAAGGTGTAAGAGGCTTAATATTTCTACCAGGGGATATGGGCAAAGGTGAAGGCGAAGAGCTATGTGTGATTGGGTATTTTGTATTACTGGAAGGGTGTGGACGGTTACATTTCCCGGTCGCCCTCATCGTAGAAGCTTATTTCTTTTGACGGTATCTGTACAAGGAGAAGTTTTTTGTGACTGAAGAGCCCAAGAGACATCTGCTTTAGGCGTGTTCCACACCTTTTCGAGGATTGTTGTTTTGAGATTTGGTTGTTCTGACGGCGGCTGTCGAAAATTCATACTGCCGGCACCAGGAGGCCATGGGGGCAAGAAGAGTGTGTTATTTTGGGGGCCGACCTTTTCTGACCTCTCTTCCCGTAGAGAAAGAAGCCTGGGGTTGGCACTACTGGTCATCCAGGGGAAACGCTTTACTACCTTCACACCCCATCCAACTTTCATCAGTACTACTTCGGCCTCAGAGTCCCATCACAGTGTAGCGATTTGCACTCCAACACAATTGTTTTTCGTCTCACCACTAACCGTTACACCTTTCTGGCATGGTACGATTTCGATTGTACGAGCACTGCATCTAGTGTAGTTCGTTGGGTCATTTTGATAAACAAGCCCGATCACTAACGTCTAGGTAGTAGCTATCAGTCAGGAATCATCGTAAACGCTCCTAGTTAGTTGTATTTTGGACGACTTTAACTCTTCATTATTTTCAGAGGCTGATAAGCAGATAAGCTTACGGAAAACCACCAGTTTTTGCTAACCTTTCTATCCGGGCTACAAACTGTATTTATGGTAGTTTCTACAGTGGGCTTCAACACGTTGGTAATTGCTGTCATATTCAGGGACTTTCTTCACTGTTTCATCGCTCAATAAAAACCTGACGTCCCCATCCTCTTCTAGTTGAGCACACAGAGACTTCACTTCTTTCTGTTTTCTGTTATCAGTACGGCTCAAACAAGCGTGTGCCTAAAGTAATGCATGATTTGAGTTTAATCGGGTGCTACAAAGAGAGTGGCGATCCTCCGTCACCTCAGCTTTTTGCTTTTGGCAATGTAATCTATATGTATTTTCCACTGGTTTGATGTCGGTGGATGGTCCAAGTTAGCGCTCTCCAGAAATAAGTGGTTGTTAGAACAAAATCACCCTTACCAGAACGTTGGGATCGGATACCACAGACACATCTCAGAAACGTTTCCGATTACCTCAACTTCCTGGTTTAGTTTTGAAGTTGCCTTTTAATGATGACTATATTTGAATGGTTTGCTTTGTGTAGCGAAATTGACATCTTTTTGCAGAATTCATCCTTTATGTCATCCGAACTACAGTCGATGGGTTCCTAGAAGAAGAATACGCATAGTCGTCGACGATCTTCTCTGTTTGTTAACTTCTTATAGATCCATTTAGTCGGACTGTTGCCTTGTATCCAGTCGAGAGGTGCAGTTTCTGCTCTATAACTTAATGCAACGACACCTAGTCATTGAATTCACATTTGTGTTGTTGATCTACTTGAGGCTAGGTATTTTTTACTCTGCATAATACTTGCTATCGAAATAAAAAAGTAACTGAATTGTTTTATGTATTTCTTCTTATCTTTCGGTGCTGCGACAAATTTCCATGTGATTTGTCACTAAAGAAATATTACTTATTCTAATTACTCATTTTCCGTTCCTTCGATTTTTCCCGGCAGTATGCCATTACATTCGTTTTTTATGATTGAATTCTGAAATATTTTTTTTATTACAGACTATGAGTAATCCGGAAGAATGTTCGGACTATTCAAGGCATTTCATATCACCCATTTGTAATATGGCGATTTCAAATCAACAATTTATTGAAATAGCAACTTCTAGAAGGATTCAATCAAAACGTGCCAAATCATGTTTCATATTAATCATCCTTATGCACATTTAATACCTCAAAATGTGACAATTTTTATAACAGTGAGATTGATTGAGTACATCTTAAGTTACCAGTGATTAAAGTTTCCTTTGTAATCAAAATATTTGGACTGAATACGCATTCTTTCTGCACACGCAAAATAGTAGTAGAACAACTAAATAATCATGTTTACATGTGGTCTTCGTACTATTGTTGTAGGTTATTCAGTTAAATGCTGTGTACGTCGTTTGGTGATGCGAGCCTTAATTTTCTTTGAGTAACCTCACAGTGTGTATACATTTAGTCTTGCAAGCGAAACTGATTTTTGAGTTAGAAGATGAATAGGCAGGATTAGCCAAGTTAGGTTAAGCGATACAACGCAAACAAAAATGTGGTTTAGAAACAGGTGTCTGCAGATGGTCATTGCCTTCAAATAAAAACCTTATATTAGTTAAGGTACGTACAGTTAAATGTTCAAGTGATCGAGTTGATAGGCTAACCAGTGTAAGTTAGAGAATTATATAAATGAAACGAAAGTGAGAAGTTAAAATTTCGGATAACTACCTTCCTAAATTTACTCGTAATGACTCACAAAAAGTAAATTAGTGATGTCAGTAGATGCTCAAATACGACTGGGGAATTCATTGCTTCATAATGTTGCCACATAAGGAAGGAGCACCAGCAAACCTATACAGGATTCACCCTTGAGGTGACATCCAGACCTACAATTTTAGTCGAAGTAAATCTTTGTCAGCTTTAGGATTCCACTGACAAAAATGGACAAAATAACTAATTTGCTGTGCCTTGTGATCACTGTAAGGCCAGGTGTATAGGGTCAATCAGGTTAGTTGAGCATGGAACTTACCTCGGTGTAAAAAGATAAGCCCCATAACGACGGGTAATCTAGGGAAGAATCTGGTTACTGCTATGTATATGATAATGCATAACCACAATAAGACAGGGCAGAGTAACTATCCCCCAGAAATTCATGTGGTTAGATAGAAGAGACTGATTACTTGGTCTTTTGTCAACGGTTCAACGTCTAGCACCTGTAATAGGCATGATTCTACAGCAATACAAATGGTACGGGAAATTCTACTACCAAATAAATCACAGAAGGAAAAGTGGTGGAACGACCGAAAATTAGTCAGGGAGTTGTGATAATACATCGATATGATAAAAAAATGCTAAATTTTGCTCAAGACGTCATACAATAAATTTCTGGTTGTATAAGTTAGTCTGAATAAATGTGGCCTCTATTAGTTTTTGTTTGCGTTGAGGGACTGAATTGAAAATGGGTTTTTCATATTTTATTCAATCCAAGTATATGTTGTACGCGATTGGCTTCGGTGTCCGTAAAACGATGGAACAAATGACAGTCACGTTGGCTTCGAAGGTCATCACTCCCCCCCCCCCCCCCAATTCACTAGTTGTAGTCTTTTTCTTTGCCTGCAGGATTTCCTAGAACGTGAGCACTCCGGATACATGTTTAAAACGTCGGGCTTATTTCCCAGTAAATAACTCTGGGCACACTTAGTGCAATGGAAATCGTTTTCTTCAGTGTCAAAGTTTCTTGCAAAATTTTCTGCAGTCCTCTAGCTATTTTACAGATGCCTATGCAAAGCCCTTAACTCCCTCATAAGTAGATGTACTTTGGTAGTCGACGTAAATGTTTGTTAACAGGGATTTGGACAAACGCATTCCGCATTATCTGAAGTTCCTGCCACATGGGTTTGTCAAAAACGCTATCTACTGGACATTTGTTAGACTTATAATGGCTCTGCGCCCGCAGTTTTCGATCTTTGAATGAAATGTAATGAGCTTTTGAACGTTTTCATGTGTACTAATATCTTCATTTGATTTGAATATCCCTGCCACTGAATTACATTTTTATCATCAGTTGCCGAACAGTCCGCCTTTTGAATTAATACCTGCTAAACCTCTAGCTGTGCTGCAGCCCCGGTAAGTATAACAAACACTCCAAGTAGTGATACTCCCCAAGTACTGCAGTTGGAAAGAGATGGAAGAGGATGCTGACAATGGGTATAGAAGCATCTTAAAAATGTTAAATTGACAGTTTTATTTGACATTTTCTCTGCGCCTATTTTTTTATACGTTTTATCCCTAGTGTAGTCCCTAATTTTGCTGTCTACACAGTGACTATCATGTGGTGCTGATTGTTCCAGCTGTTAAATTTCTGAAACTTTCTAATTGATAATATTGAACACACATTTTATTTTAATTTTGAAGTGACTTTTCCGTTTTTGACGTACCATTTCATTTCAGATATTTTGATGACTTTTTGTCACATTTTTTCATATTTCTCAATGTTTTATCGTTCTGAATTGTATCATCATGTTTTATGGCACCTGGAATCACTACACATTATTACCAGGTTTTATATTGGTGTGAACGGATTGGTTTTGTACGCTGGGATGCTGAAGTGTTCTACCTGAATTTTTGTGTCTAACCTATCTACGTTTTTGCTTCAATGTGAGGCTGCTGAACGTCGGATCTTCGGTACAAAAGCTAGTAGTTGTTGTACTATCCATGAGTAATGCCTACATCATTGGCACAACGTTTTCAAACACACTTTCGCCCTGATATAAAATAGCATATGGAGGTTGATCTGACTTTGACCAGAGACTGCAGCAGCCCCATCTCTAAACGAACTGTAATATACCCAAAGTTGGGGTTTAGTGGGTCATTTACGTAGTATTTCATCTAGAAGTAAATAGAATGACAGCGAGCTACTTATTTACTAGTTTCAAAAATCAGCTGATTAACACCGTTGTCACTATGGCACTTCGAAATCGTGAGACTGAGAAGTAAACAAACCAATCGACAAACAGATAAATAACATCTCACATGTTTTTTCAAATCTCTTGGTTATAATTGTTTTGAGAAAACCCTTCCATGTGTCTCAAAACTTCTAGTCGTTAAAGTAGGCATATGAGTCTTTTTGTGAGGATTTCAACAGCTGGTCTACTCAGATATTTCATCGATGAATGCACGGTGAGTCCAATTTTGTTGACACGTAAGGATGCAATATACTAAGCACCTAGCGTTAACACAGTACTAGTGTTTTTTATATTTTCTCTGTTTTGGTAGTGTTGCTTTTTTGAAATTTTAAAACTAGCTTATGGGAAATAAACGAAAAAAAATCGTTTGTGTATTTTGCTAAATTTTTGTTATCTGCAGCACCTGAGATTAAGTGCTGCTGTCAAATGGTGTTGCCGCCTTTAAAAGGAAGATGACCCAATCGACACATCAAATACAATTTGGAAGCTGTTATTTCTAGAAGGCAAAATGCTAAACATCTGAATTGCAGGTTAACTGTCGTGGACTAACCTAATTTGAAAACATGTTCTTGATGACCGGCTTTAATGGACGACTTATCTCCTATTTCAGCCTTGCCATAGGGACAACTGTGATTGGTTGATCTTTGCCCTTCAGAAATTCAGTTGAAACAGACGAATTCTCTCCATCGATTTCCCTGTCAGCTTCGTATCAGTTTCGCGCTTTTACAGGGGTAGTCACATTTGTTGGAGGTGTGATACACGTTTAAGATTTTGTGTTTGGAGCAGAAACTTGTGTGTTAAGTGTGAAGCCAACAATCGATAAGTGTCTCCAGATTGCACAACTCTCACCTAATAGTTGAATGATTGTCATGATATCAGGCCTTAATGTGATTTTTATTCAATTTCTTCATATGGACTTTGTTTTTCATATGTGACTGATAAACTTTAATGATATTACTCGCTACATGTTTGAGTAGTTGAAATGCCACTCCTTGCCGCGTTGCCACTGTTTGTTGCAGATAGACATGGGGTGAAGTTGAAAAGTGTTCGCTTCACACCTCTATGGCCTCCACAAATTCGATTTCAGATTCGTCTAATTGTGGGTTTTACTTGTTCCTCAACATATAACCTTTCCAAATACCTCACAAAAACCCTTAAACCGTTACGAGACAACTTGGTAAATGCCACTAAAAATTCATTGGACTTTGAACACAAATTATTACGAAAAACCATCGAAGGTGATGAAGCAATAGTTGTTTCCCTGTATGCAAATATTCTGGTCGATGAAAGCATACGAGTTGTTAGATCTTTATTCGAATCGGACGCTTCCTTATCGCTTAGATGCAATATTTCCATCAATGAAGTCTGTGATGCACTGAGATTATGTTTGACCTCAATCATTTTTAATTTTCGAGGAAATCTTTATCGTCAAACCAGTGGGGTAGCAATGGGTTCACCAGTCTCACCTATTGCAGCTAATCTACGCATGTACAAAGTTGAAAAAAACCTATTTAGGCAACATGATTTAAAACCAAGAACTTGGTGGATGTACGCTGATGACACCTTCGTCGTCTAGAAAATATTTTCAAATATCTTAACAGCTGTTTCAACTCCATAAAATTCACTTATGAACTAGAAACAGAATTCAGAACGTTAGCTTTCGTAGATTGCAGAGCCATAGGAAGCGACGACGGGACACTTGACAATGAAGTCAATTGAAAAGATACACATTCTGACGAGCACCTTGGCTTTGATTCAACCCACCCATTGGGAACTAAGCAAACCGTCGGCAGCAATCTGTTGACGAGATCACAAAGGATACCAAATAAAGTGGAGTATCAATAATCAGATAGGCAACTTGTTCGGGAAGTCTTAAAACACAATAACTATGCGAAAAAGCTACTAAAAGGATGGAAAAAGTTAATCAAAAAAATACGCGGATAAACCAAGCCATAAAATTGGACAAGATTGTCGAACATTCACATTAGAGGAAATGAGAAGTATCCTTACTAGTATTCTTTAAGGTTGACGAACATATTACACTCAAACCTGTGTAAGTTAAGAGACCTGATTCC